GACACAGAATCCGAAACAGGCTCCAGGCTCCCAGCCATCAGCCCAGAGCCTGGCGGGGCTCCAACTCACGGACCGCGAGATCGTGACCTGGCTAAAGTCGGACGCTTAACCGACTGCGCCACCCAGGCGCCCCAAAAGTTCTTTTTTAAATACCTGTTAAGTTGAAGTTGATTTTTTTTAATTATAAATAGATAAAATCAAATACTTCTCTGACCTACCTGACCCATATTTATTTTCCTTTAATTTTTAAAAACATTAATAGCATTTATGTTTTAGACCAACTAGGTTCAAAGCAAAATTGAGCAGAAGGCAGTGGGTCAAAAAGAAATTAAAAAAAAAAAAAGAATTACCATATGATCCAGCAATTCCACTTCTGGATATATACTTAATCAAATTGAAAGTAAGGTCTCAGACATATTTATAAATCCATGTATATAGCAGAATTATGCACAATAGCTAAAATATAGAAGCAACCCAAGAGGCCATCAACCAGTGAATGGATAAACAAAATGTGGTGTGTGTGTATGTGTGTGTGTGTGTGTGTGTGTGTGTGATGGAATATTACTCAACCTTAAAAAGGGAGGAAATTCTGCAATAGGCTACAATATGGATTGACCTTGAGGACATTATTTTGAATGAAATAAACCAGTCAGAAAAAGACAAATACTGTTTGATTCTACTTATATGAGATACTCAGTAGTCAAAAACAATAAAGACAGGGTAATGGTGGTGGCCAGGCGACTGAGGGAAGAGAGAATGTTTAATAGTTATAGAATATCAATTTTACAAGATGAAAAGAATTATGGGAACGGGTAGTGGTGATAGTTGCACACAATGGGAATGTATTTAATGTCATTGAACTGTACACTTAAAAATAGTTAAGATAATAAATTTCATGTAATTTGGGTTACACCATAATAAAAGAAAATTGAGCAGAAGGTGTACAGATATATCCTATATATTCCCTGCCCCTGTACATACATTTCTAAAATAATATGTTTTAATGTCATGAATTATAAATAATATATCCCTAATGATAAACTATATTTGGTTGTGTATGATAGATATATTTTACATGTTGCATAATTAGATTTGCAAATATTAGAAATTTATAATCAAAATAGTCCTAAAACATTTCTTTTTGCAAGGTATTTTCCGGTTTGAAATTGTCTTATTCTAGCAGCTTTAAAGTTTTCCTCTTTTTATAATTCCTTGAATAACTGCAGAGGATAGTAATTATATCTTCTAAGAAGTAAATTTTAAGATATAATTTAAGAGTTAATATTAGATCCTTTGGCATATTATTCTGATATTTTACACATTTCCAACTTCTGTTTCAATTTATTTATCTATTCAGTCAATTATAGTAAGTTTTACGCTCTTTAAAATATTGCACAGTTCCTGAATGTCCAGTTTTGATTCATAAAGTATACCACTATATTCTTTAATATTTGAAAACAGTTTTTCCAAATGCTATGTCTCAACTTTGAGTTTTTGTTTTCTGTTGAATAATTTCTTAGATTGTGTTTATTTTTTAAATGTTTTTATTTATTTTTGAGAGTGAGAGAGCACAAGTAGAGTTAGGGACAGAGAGAGAGAGAGAGGGAGACACAGAATCCGAAGCAGGCTCCAGGCTCTGAACTGTCAGCACAGAGCCTGACGCGGGGCTCGAACTCATAAACCACAAGATTGTGACCTGAGCGGAAGTCAGATGCTTAACCGACTGAACCATCCAGGTAACCCAGACTGTGACTATTTTTAATTAAAATATAGTTAACATACATGTTACATTAGTTTCAGGGGTACAACAAAGTGATTTGAAAGTCTTTATGTTATGCTGTGTTCACACAAGTGTAGCTAGCTACCATCTGTCACCATATGACACGATTACAACACCACTGAATAGATTTCCTGTAGTGTGCTTTTCATCCCTGTGACTTACTCATTCCATAACTGGAAGCCTATATTTCCCCTCCCCTTCCCCTATGCCCAACATTGTGTCTATTTTATGACACTCTTTAAATAATAGCTTTCATTTTTTGAGACTTCTTACTACATTTTTCCAGTTCCACTACTTTGCTCTCTTATTTTTATTGTTTTTTTTGTTTAATCCGAAATTAGTTGCTGTAATGCCTTGTATTATATGATTGCTTTATCACTTCATAGACACTTTTTTGTTTTGTAATGTATACATTTGAAGTTACAGATTTATTAATGCTTATTAAATTTACAAATGTATTAACCATATTCCCAAAGGTTTAAGTTCATCATTATTTTTCTATTCTTTCCTTTTTACAATTTCTATTATTATATTATATTTGTTACATTTATAAGTTCATACTGTTCCTAAATATTTCCAAATGTATGTATTATTTTGTCTCTATAAGAATTTTTTGTTATTTCTCACTTATGGCCCATAACATGATGTATATTGTGTACTTAAAATAGTCTGTAATCTCCTATTTTTGCATGTAGGTTTATAATTAAACCCTTGGGTACAAAATTGTTAATACTGTTATCAGACTTATAACATTACTAATTATTGTTTACATATTTGTTTCAAGAAATATATTTTCACATTTCTCACCCTAACTTTAAATTTGTAATTTTCTACTTGAATTTCTTACAAGTTATGGTTCAGTGTTCAGATTCAGGTGAGTCACAAATATTATATTATCCTATAAATTGTCCCATACATCACTGCATAACTCCATTAATGCTTTAAAAATAGCTGATACTGATGTTATTATATTGTTTTGTTTAAGAATGCTTGATTCTTTCTATACATTTACTTTCCAACTTTGTACTTTTAGTGCCCCTTAGAAATAATACAAGTTTTTTAAAAAAAATTAATTTGAAAATTCCTCCTGTAATCTGCAAATGTACTCTAATAATTATTGTATTTACTGATGTATATGAATTGTCTTTTTCATGCCAATATCCATTATTTTATTTTTGTTTTGATAAAATATCCATTATTCTTTTCTAACTCTATATTGTTTTGATTTGCTTCGCCCTTACATTTTTTAACATTCTCCATTACATTTTCCCTTACATCATTCCTTTACATTTTTAACATACGTGAATATGTCACTATGTCTGTTAACAGCTCAAACCTCCTCACGAATAATTCAAGAATCATGGGCATATAAACTGCTTAATCCTCCTCCAGTATTCTTTCATATAACAAATATGTACTGAGTGTATATTAAGTGCCAGGCATTATAAATGATATAAATTACACAAATACCATGTCTTTGCTTTCTTTTTTTTTTTAAATTAATGTTTATTATTTTTTTTTTGAGAGAGAGAGAGAGACAGAGAGAGACAGAGCACGAGCGGGGGAGGGGGGGGCGGGCAGAGAGAGAGGGAGACAGAATCTGAAGCAGGCTCCAGGTTCTGAGCTGTCAGCACAGAGCCCATCGCAAGGTTCGAGCTCATCAACCGTGAGATCATGACCTGAGCCAAAGTGAAATGCTTAACCGACTAAGCCACCCCTTGCTTTTGCTTTCTTTGGGAGATATGTATATTAACTTAATGAACTAGACACTGACACGCATTATTGCTCCTTCTTTGGGAAGTTAGAAACAGTCTTTCTGTTTGTTCTTTTAAGTGAAGTTGAAATTATTCCATTGCTCTGAACTGATGAAGGAATCTCACTGTCAGTACCCAAAATAGCATGCCCAAAGCTATTTCACTGTTCAGGTTTGGGTGTCAAAATGCCAAACCATAAACACTAGAACTTTTAACCTATATAGTATATATCTAAACTACTATAGCATCAGTTTGAAATTTTAAAAACTTTGATTACATTTATCTCTTCATTTCGATCTTAAGTATTTTTAATTCTTAACTTGAAATTTGGCATATTTGTTAAAAATATTGCTATGTTTTCTTAACAATTAAAAATTAATAGTTACATATTATTTCATTTAATTAGTTCATTATGTTGTAAAGAGTATAGAATGCCATTATCTGGATTAGGTGAATATATCCACCAAGACTATATTAACACTGCCTTTCTGTACGTACTATCATTTTAAAGCACAATTATTTTTAAATACTCTTTATTTATATTGTATCCTTAATATATGCAATCCTTAAGAAGAAATAAATAAATAGTACACATTTTGAAAGAACACACAATGTAATCTCCTTTCATTTTAAATACAAAATATGAGTAAAAAACTATATCAAAGAAATGTCTTATATAGAGAGTAATTTGATCTTATCAGAACTTCTGAATAAAATATTGATCCCATACTCATTAGTTTGTCAGTTTTGTTTTTGTTTTCACTTCTGCTTTATTAAGTATAATGTGACTGTCTGGACTACTTAAGAAGCAAAACTATGTCCAAAAGGGGAAAGTTACACAAAACCAGAAAGAACTGATTTGAAAATACTGAGATTTCCAACCCATGTTATCTCTTTTATAGTTGCATGGACTTAGGTAAGTGGCATACTGGACATCACTTTACTGCTTATAAAATCGATATACTAACTGAACTCATATATTTTAATGACATATAAATAATATTCTATAACCTTAACTGTCGTCTGAGAAGACTCCATGCATGAAAATCTCTACTCTGAGACTTGCATTTGGACTACAAAGAAAGCAATCCACCAGCAAAGTCAAACTTAAAGACCAGACTATGACATGAGATGGTTTTCTTTTTATCAAGCTTCCATGACATAATATGGAAGATAATAAGCAAGACCCTATTGCTGTACTGTTCTATTCCTCAATTATCAGAAAGTTGAAATCTTACAACTTGCCTTATAGAGTATTTGTGATGATTGAATGACTCCTAATTTGAAATGTGTTACCAACATTCCAGTTTTGTAATAATATCACACAAATGTTAGTACTGAAATGAGAATAATGAAGATGAATACCCCTTTTAATATCATGAACCCAGGCAACTCCTTTTCAAATACTAACAGTGTTTGTGATATTAAGTACAGTAACTTTGAATGTTTTCTTCCCTTAGTGAAGGATGTTCCAGCATCCCGGAGATTCCAACATCTCTAAGCTCCAGGTCTCTGAGTTCATTCTGATGGGATTCCCAGGCATTCACACCTGGCAGCACTGGCTCTCCCTGCCCCTGGCTCTGCTCTACCTCTTAGCTCTCACTGCCAACATCCTTATCCTGATCATCATCAATCAGGAGGCCACACTGCATCAGCCTATGTACTTTTTCCTAGGTGTCCTGGCTGTTGTAGACATGGGACTGGCTACCACCATCATGCCCAAGATTTTGGCCATCTTATGGTTCAGTGCCAAGGCCATCAGTCTCCCTGAGTGTTTTGCTCAGATGTATGTCATACATTGTTTTGTAGCCATGGAATCAGGTATCTTTGTCTGCATGGCTATAGATAGATATGTAGCCATTTGCAAACCACTACGCTATCCAGCAATAGTTACTGATTCTTTTGTGGTCAAGGCAACTGTGTTCATGGCACTTAGAAACAGCCTGGCTACCATCCCAGTGCCTGTGTTGGCTGCTCAGAGACACTACTGCTCACAGAACCAAATTGAGCACTGCCTGTGCTCTAATCTTGGA